TGAAGCATAAGAGTGTTTATGTGCCTTCGAGAGATGGAGAGAGAATCTGCTTTTAACTATTTTTTTGAAATAGTTGACAACAGCCATGGAAGTCAAGGGTTATAGGAAGTACCAGTAGAGCAGAAACCCCGCTTACACAAACAACAGATATACAGCTGCTTCTTTCAGCTACTCAGTGTTTTCCTGAAGGTGTTCATGACATTACTAGGAGTAAGTGGTTAGTAGTCACTTAAGGAACGTTGTCAGTGAGTTTTCAGAGCCATATAATTATCTTTTTTTTCTAAATATTTTGAGGCTTATTCAGCAGTACAACTATGGCTAATACACTGGATTCCTCTCATTATTTACTGAAGAGAAGCTGACAGCATGCTGTCTTTACAAGATTTTGGGATCTGGCTACTCACTTTTGTCTAAAGTATTTTGAAATTGGAAATTTTTTGAAAAAAAGTTCTAGAAATGTTTTGAAAGGTGTATTGACTGAATTCTGGCAGATGGAATGCAGGTAAGATTCCTGCAGTGATGTACAGGTGTACTCAGTGACCTAGGTGAATCTTTTTATTATTTGACTTTAAAGAAATAAGTATAATGACTTATTTCTCTTTTCCATTTCTACAGCTAGACATCATTTCTCTGTCAGCCTGCAGAACAACATTGATATTTGGGAGTCCAAAGAGAGAATTCATGTTGTACTACTCCTTTTCTAACAAAGCAGATGATAACAGATGATGAAATTCATTGCCCCTTAGAGCGTTAAGATCTCAAGGACACCTTTTGGACTCGAAGACACGAAAACTTACAAAATCATATTAATCTCATTATTAGCCCAATGGATGACTTAAAAGTTTCATCAGAACTTTGCTAAATTACAAGGGTCTAATCTAGGCTATGCAGGCCTCTATAATGCTGTTTTTTTTTTCTTTAATACCAAAAGGTTGCATAACAAAGGTATAGGAATGATACAGATAAAATAAACAGAAGAAGTTAGAGAATTAGAAACAAAAAGGAGACAGAGGGGTATATATATAGGTACATTAGACATGTAAATAAGTCAAAAAGTACAACTGGATTTCAGTCCTATCTTCAGATTTTCAGAGTGATACTACTGTCATTTTTAGTGTTTCAGTCTCCTTTCCGTTAGAGGGCTATTGAAGGAATATTATCACCTAATTGAAGTACATAGGGTATTTAAGGAGAAATGGTAGAAGAATATGAGGGAAAAATGAAACATGGGAAGAAAGGATGTGTGGATGGGAAGGGATAGAAGGACATTGGAGACATGTAACAGAAACTATATGTCATGAGCATAATAGCTGAGAAATGGGAAGAAATGAACCAAATAGATACTGAATTAGCTAATTAGTTGTACAGGAAATCAATGCAATAAAGTGTAAACTAAGTGATCAAGGAGAGAATCAATATAACAAAGGATCAACTAAAAAATGAGGTAATCAAAGACTCTGGTAAACAATTAAACAGACAATTGAGAGTATATAAATCACAGGCTATATTAACTAGTTAATTAGTCACGTAGTCGATGTATTAAGTGAAGGATCAATAGATTATTTTATTAATTAAACATTAAGTCAGTTAGAGATCCATGCAATTAAGTAAACAGAAAATATTGAATTGAAAGAAAATATTTGAAGGACTTAGACAGTTAGAGGCAGGCTGAAGTGTGAGTTAAAATGCTGACAGTAGATGAAACCATGCAGGAGGGAAAGGTCAATGTGAAAGATGCACTGCAATGGTGGACCACCAGGATGTCAGCTTCAGCAAACATGCAGATGAGTTCTTCCTTGCCGGAGAGTGTTGCTGCCACTCTGACCACTGACATGAGTAGTTTACTTTTAGAAATAAGAAGTCACATTGTTATATTAGGACATATATGAGCGCTTAGAGCAATTGAGAAAAAGCTTTTGGTCCAGATTAGTAGTCGCTTGAGAAGCAGTTTATTTTTAATGGCACATGCTCCTGCCAGATGTATGTGACACAACAGGGCCGCTTACCATGAATTGCTGAACAGTGATTTGACTGCCTGATTCTGTGATACAAATATGTTTCTGTAATGTTACACTTCTGAAGGTGTAAGATTTCTAGAATTTTGCTGCAGCTGTATCTATCTCTAAAAAGTTTAGTATTTTACTTGATATTCCAATAAAGTATTGCAAAGCTGATTGGACTTTCTTGAATTCCTTACTCTGTGCACTACTGACTTTCCCATTGCATGTGCACAGTCTCTTCAAATGTACATGAAGGTATAATACCAAACACAAAAGGCAAATTTGATTTAAAATTTAACCAGATTAAATCATGATTTTTGGAATATGTTTTTGCTAAAGTGAGACAAAGTTCAAATGTATTTGCTTTTATGATACTTTGATAGTACAGAGACACAAAAAGCCTATTAAGCAGCTCAATAATCTCCACAGGGATGGAAACAATCTTAAAAGACAAAGCAGTTAAAATAGTTCTTGTCTGTCCTTCACGTTTATTGAACTAATTCTTAAAGTAAAGATGTACCTTAAAAAGAATAAAGAGCCTGATGCTTCCTTCAGAAAAGCCTCAGCGGCAGATAATCAGGGCTTTCTCACCCAACAATACCTCCATATTTCATTACAGTAATTTTGACTGTAGTGGTAGGCCTCTAAAAAACACTTGAGTATCAAGGTTCTTAACAAGAATTAGTGAGTTAATGGCAGAATCCCATAGTTCTTCTTCGCTTAGAGCTGTTCCATAACGAGGATTCTTGTCTATCATCCATCTCTTCAGTTCCATCTAAAAATGAGGACTGAAACATTTAACTACCTCTCTATATTGTGCACGGATGAGGGAGCTTGAATGTACCTTAGTGCATTTTATTTTTTTCTAGGCTGTGAAGATCTCTCACTCAAACCTGATTTTGTAAAATGGAACATCCATAGTAAGAGAACATTCCTGGAAGCTTGGTACAACATAGAGTGAATGCTACATTATGTAATCTTAAAAATTAAATTGTAAAATGTTATTGTATTATATACACATTCCTCTTATTTAGCCTAACAGTTTAAAAGGATAAAATAGTAGTCAATGCAGTCTCAGGAAAAACAGTATTTTGTACCTTAGTGATCTGGACAGATGGTTGTAAGATAGGTAGATATTCCAACTTTATAGTACAATAAAGCATAGCTATGTAAGACATACCAATAAATGCCTTATTTGCTTACTGTGACTTTATTTGGTAATGAGTAATCTTATCAATTGCTTTGCACAGAAGAAATTAAATGTTTAGCTGTTTTCTATGCATGTTGCTTTTGACTGAGAAAATATAATGTATTCTTTTGTTTGAATTCAAAATGATTTTTTTTCTTTTTGCTGTTGTGTATTTATTTGAGAGGGAAGTTGAATGTCTCTTCTCTATTTATGAGATAAACGTGTTTCTAACTTTGCTTGCAAAAGCAGAACCTATAGGGGGATAGGGCATGTTTCACAGTTGGGAGGTTTCATAGCTAGTAGCCTTCACTAATGGTTTTATCTAGTGTTAAAGCTTTTTATAATCTTAACAATGGTAGCTAGCATCCTGATAAGGGCAAAAAGCGATGACAGTTCTGGTGATGCCTAACAAATCACTCTAGTGTGTAGTTTATCCAAAAGAATTTTAATTTAATATGAAGTAATATGGAAAATTAGAGCTCCAGCCTGTGAAAATGCGCTGTGTTCTCATCTGAGTAGAAGGAAGTTATGAATAATTGTGGTAGAAATTAATATTTTTCCTATTACACTCAAAGTTCTTAACTAATTTTCTGACAAATAAGATGCCAGCAGTGCATAAACATATAGTTACTGAATTCAGTTCAAAAAAAGCATTGCTTTGTAAAGACAATCTCTGCTTCTATCTTTTGCTCTCTAATCTTTCTCTCTGGAGGAAAGTTTCTCAGAAAGTTGTGGGTAAGCAGCTGTAAAGTACTTTCTTTTTGCTTTAGATCTGGTATGAAGTAAAAATTAGTTTGCTCTTGCTGATTGAAGTTTTCTCATATGATAGTGGGATGCCAGATCACCATGCTGATTCTCTTAAATCTCTCAACAGCTTTTTGGAGTTCATTAACCAGGAGCTTTTGTTGAGATAACTTTCATGTCTGAAGGGGGTAAATTGACATTTGCTTGCATGTCACTGCTTTTTCTTCTCTGTGGAGCTGCAGTTGTCAATACTATTCAACTATTCTTTTACATTCGAGGAATCCATAGTTCCTCTTCTTTGGTGCCAGCTGAAGGAGGGGGCAGGCGTTTTGTGGGTTTAGGCCACCCAAAGGCCGCTCTTGAGACCAGAGGCAATTTAAACAACCCTGCAAATTATGAGTCAGTCATGGCTGGAGAGCGCTTCTCAGAGTACATGCGTACCCATAGGCCTGTGGATTTCTAGAAATTAAGATCGCTGCCCTAACTATTCAGGCAGAGTGTTTGCAATCTGTCCATATGCTGGGGACATAAAGGGGGAGACAGCACCTGGCCTGAGGGATTACTTTTTCAGGGCAGGAGAGATGCAGTCTTTCAGTTTACTTGAGCTGTAGCTGTCTTGCTGAGAGTTACTAAGAGAAATGTTGAAAGTGATAACTCCTTTCAGACGATCCACAATACAGACGTCATGCTCAGTTCCTGTACTGTCATGTATTTTTAGCATCAGCATTTGTTTCTGTTCTTTGTTGGTGATCTTTATCACCTTATCTGGTTTTATTTTTTTATGATTGTAGGTCTCGACTAGAGGTTTCTAAACTTTTCTTTGATTTAAAAAAAATCACTTTGTTTCTCGCCAATTTTCAAAGCCAGTTTGAAATGCCCTTTTGCGTTATGCAGATACTGCATAGTTAGCATCGGAGTGGGAGCTTCATATCTGCTTTCGGTGTGTTGCACTCACTTCCAGTTGGATTGGAGGCATGATCTCAGGTGTGACCCTTGATCATTTTTGTTTTATATGTTTAGCTTCTGGCTGACTTACAGATCATTCTTTTCTCTCTCCCGTCATTCAGGTCCTCTCTGGAGCATGCTTGAAGAGGACACTTGACTCTGGAACTTGCTATATGTGGTCCCAATTGTTTCCTGTTTCACGGCCATTTTCAGCTGACCAAACATAACTGAGGTATACAAGATAAGTGATTCAGGAGTCTTTAGGAGGAAAAACAAAAAACAAAAAACCAAACACCTCCCCCCGCCCAAACCTAGATTTCTGAGGGTTCAGCTCAGCTATGCTGTTTTTTTTTTTTTTTCCTCCTTACTGCTGCAGTCTTGGGATATAATCTTGTCCAGGGCTAGCACTGCTGCTAGAATTTTCCTTTTCACAGTAGGAAGAAAGATTAAAGAGGAAAAGAAAAAAGTGAGCTATATGGTCCTGACACCCTGAAATCTCTGTCTGTCACTTGAGCTTGAAGCACAAAAGAGCATTGTAATAATTAGCCTTGCAAAAGAAGAATGTATTTCAGATACAAATACTGAAAGTAAACAGTTCTTATCATGTTAAAGAAAAAGGCAAGAGAGGGCTGTTGAGAACACCTTATGAATGTAGTTCACCCATTGCTGTGGGAGTTTACTAGGTGAAGGGAAAAGGCAACAGAAGATACTATTTCAAATCAGTAAGTCAGTATGAAACCACCTTAGCAGAAGTCTGATCACAGCTCCAAAAGGGTACCGAGTGGGGGGTCGTGCGCTGGCCTAAGTTCTCCTGGCATTTACAGAAGTTAGTGAGAGATCGCTTACATTTCTCTTCCTTAAAACAGAAATGGGATATGTTTCATCCAATATTTTCTCTTCTGTCTAATACAGATGAAAAGATATGTTGACGAGTGAGCTATGGAAGCCCTGCTTCTTAACACTTTAACCTCCAGTTCTTCATAGAGTCAAATTAGCAGGATTTAGCTTTAGGTTTCATACTAAGTTTTGGTCTCGGTATGAAATGGAATTTCCTTTGTACTTGAATTCCGTGCATCGTTCTTCTTCTGTTTCTGTTGTTTCTAAACGTGCTCATACTGCTCTCCACTTTTACTGTAAAATCTTGTGAATAGTCTCTTCAAAATGGCATTGGATTTTTCATCTGCTTTTCAATATAAAAAGCTATCACTATACTTTCAACATTTAATTAGCACCACCACCCTCAGAGAATATGTATTTAATGGGTCCATTCAGCTTTGGCATGGTCATATGTTGTTTTTAAAGTTTATATGAAGCCTACCTGAATAGCGTGCAGTTTTTGCATCTAAGTAATTTCTTATAATCAGCTGATTGCTGTGAATGCTTACTTTGGAAGTCTTGTAGGGAGACAGTGCTCTGACATTGCTTCTTAGCTTTCCACTAAATTCTGCCTGATACTTATTTAGAAAAAGAGGGATAAATTTAGTTCATTATAATTCCATTAATGTCCATGGCATTCCCTCAGGAATGAATATGGTCTATAATTGATTTTGTAGTCTTTTTGTTAAAGAAGCAAAATATAAATTTACCAGTTCATTCATTATTCCGTCTATTTTGTTTTTTCTGTGAATATGGTAGGAAGGTAGATCTTAATTATACAGATATTTGGTACCAGAAGTAATGCACAATCATATTATGCAAAGCTACTTCATGATGCAATTCTTGTACTTGTTTGAACATTCTGTCAGTTATGTAAGTTTAATATTTTTTTAAAGAAATACATTGCTAAAACTTGAAATAATTTCATGCTAGAACAAAGTGCCACACTATGAACATGTTCAGCCGTAAGTAGGTCCTGCTGTGCATTATTCCCAAATGCTCTAGTGTAAAACTAACCTTATCTGAAATTGGTCTTACTTGGTTTTAGCCACAGACTTTTTAAAGGCTACCTGTACATGTAGACTCTTTGCAAATATTATTACTTAATTATTTCTTTGTAAAATATGGACACATTTCCATGCAATTATTTCTTTGCCTTTAATCTTAATCCCACAGTCAGTGAATGATGATGTATTCCATGGCACTCATTTCAGATAATTCAAAGCTAGAATGACATTTTTTTAAACTGTGCGTCTTTGAGAAGTACATAGAATCACAAGCTGCCACATAAAATGACTCATCCGTGGTTTATACCAACAAGAGCTGGCAGATACAGTATGTAAACTAGCTTATGAAAATGTATGAGCGTGTTGCACGGTGCTCCCTTGGGCGTATTAGCGGTTAATTTTTTTTTCATTAATAGCATTCTGCTGGAAGGTATAATGGATGTTGATGCAGCATCTTCTGTCTCTTCCATTCCAACAGGTATTGAGAGAATATAAAGACCAGAGGCAAAATGTTTCACCTCCTGTTTTTCCTTCTGTCAGAACTGTTTTCTTCTAAACCTTATGAGCACAAAGGAAATCAATGCAGAAACGTCATGTGAAAGTCTGCAGGAACCTTTGTGGATTTGCACAGTGGGAAAGGAATGCAGGGGACCTGATTTCCTTTTCTCACAGACAGTGGGATAAATGCCCTGTCACTGTAAAATGTAAGCCTTTCTGTGGAAAAATAGTTTTCCAAAAGTGATGTTTACCAGTCAGCTCTAGTTCAAATATTGGGTGGTCTGAAGATGTTGTTCCCTTTTGTTTTCAGGCAAATGCAGAGGAGCAGTGAATCTTCATTTTACCTTTTCTGAGGAGAGATTCCATGCTTATTTTCTAGTAACCTAGGCAGTAGCTAGGAGGCAAGTTCAGCCTCCTCCTAAATGTAACATTGTCTCTGTTATCTCAATTGCATATGCTTATTGTATGCAGTCAACAACACACATACTTACATGTATGAGTGCATGTGTATGTGCGTGTTACATCTATTATTGCCATTCAAGAAGTGCTCCCCCTGTTGAACAGTTCCACAGCACGAGAAATACAGTGTTTTGATGTGTTTACTGTCTTCCATCAAGTAAAGAAAACCTGTCTTCTATCATGCTGCGTCAATTGAAAAAGGGCCTTAGAACAAGAAAAAGTCTAAGTCCTTACTAAAATTAGTGCCATCTTATGTAGTTAACAGAGAGCTTCGAAAGATTGTATGGATATGGCAGACAGTGGTTTTGAAGCATTGCATTACATCATTGTGGTTTTGGTTAGTTTTGCTTGTTTTTCTTATATGGGAAATTGGAACTAAATATTATTTTAGAAATAGAAAACCAATATTGATGTAAGAGGGCCTGCTTGCTTTCATCATTCCTATTTAATGGATAATTAAATCAAAGGGGGAGATTTTTGAAGATGTAAGTGTTTAACACCCTTTGTACTTCTTGAATTTCCATTACAGGCAGGAATGTAGTACTAGTATTATTTAAAGTAGTGATTATTTCTCACTTGAAGTACCATAAATGCTTTGGTTTTCTAGTTCAAGGAAAATAAATTGAAGCTGGAACACTAGAGCCACTTTAGATTCAAAAATATCATTACAATGATTGACAGGAACGGAGAGGAGACAAAATAAACTGACTTTGCCTAACAAAATAAAGACTACATAGGGTATCTTTGGTCTATATGAATATAATATTATGGTAAACATTTAAGCTAAAGAAAAACTATAGACACAACAACAAATGAGCATCAATTTGCAGTGAATAAATTTAGGCTGGAAATTAAAAGAAGTTTTCTAGTAATCAATGAAGTAAGGACCTAGAACACCCTGGGGAAATTTAAAGGAGCTGCAGGAACTGAAAACATTGCTGATTTTAAGACAGAACTCCATGTATTCTAAAGGTGATTACATCCGATATTTACATATAATAAGTAAGGAACTCAATTCACTACTCAAGACTTTTTCTTCTTGTATGAAGGTTATTAGCCATCTAACAGCTGACTTGATTTTTTGAAGACCCCCCCCCCACAAATGCATTGCCTAGATGCACAAATTAAAGTGGTAGGCAATGATGCTATAAGATTGAAATGAAGCAGAAATACTGGATAGAAATTCTAATCAGTTTTATAGGAGGTATTGTCTTTAATGTGTGTTTTATTTTGAAGCATGTTTTTCCAGTTTTACAGAACACATATTTTTTAAGTCAGAGAAGTCACTTTCAACATCAGTCTAGGATTGTTTATTAACGCGCATTTCATATCTGCTATATTTTTCCCCATGTATGACCCTTCTAAATTCAAGGATTTGTAAAGACTCCTGAGTACTAGACTTTAAAATAAAAATGTAGTTTTATTTTAGAATGGCCAAATAGTTATTTTTTAAAACTTATTTCCTACAGCCTGATATTAAGATCAATTTCATCTCATTTTTTGTACTGGTAGAGTTTTCAAAGTGTAATTTTTTAATGACCTTTTACTTTCATGAGGAAAGTTAATCTGAATCATAAAGAAAAGCTAATTGCAAAGAAACTTGCAGATACTTTTGATCTGAAATGTAATATATTATTAATAATAATCCTTTCCCCCTCATTAACAGGAGAAAAATGAGCATATTGCATATATTAACATTCATTTTCAGGACCAATATTATATATTGCTTCTTTGATTCAAACTTACTTGTTTTCTTTTTAACTCATTGACCAAGAAAAAAAAAGATAGGAATGGCGAAGCTAAAAAGATAATTTTCTTTAAATTAAAAGACAAGATGTTAATGGTCTCAACTAAGTGTTCTCAGCAGGGAGCTCTGTAGCCAGAATTTTCATTATTGCAGACGCATTTTAAATATTCAGGCTACTAGGGTAAGTGAATAAGGCAACACTGCAGAAACTGCTTTAGAGTGATGGTTCATGGCCAATAATACACATTCCAGCAATTATGTACTGCCATAAGTGTCTATGAGACAGTCTTTCTTCCATCTTTATTTTCCTATAATCTAGAGCACAAAGGAAATTCACTTATAAGGAATGCCACAATACTGGAGCTTAAATTTTCTGTTAATTTGTTTCTCTGTAGAAGGCTAGAATTCAGACTGAAAAATAAATGCAATATATTAAATTTTCAATCTAAATTTTAAATTCTGAAAATTGATCAGCTAGAGATTCAGAGGTATCACACTGGAGCCGTAACACATGCGCCTTACTACAGGAAAATAGGAACATCAATAACATCATGAAAAAGTTGGGAAGAGGAGGCATGAGCATACATCAATATTCTATATTAGCATTAGGCAATTAGTTTTGTGAGCTGCTATATATTGTATAAA